CTCCAGTAACGCTGGCCATCCGGCTAATTGATCGAGTCTCCAGTAACGCTGGCCATCCGGCTACCGGTAATTGATCGCTGCAAACAGGTATGGTAATCAACAATTGTGGCTGATCCACGAGCGGTGGCCGCCTACATCAAGTCTCGATAGCCACGGATGGATGTAGCGAAGATGGCGACAGTGTCGACGTCCTTAGTTGCAAGGCCGCCCCAGCGCTTCGAGCTTCTGCCTACAATGTACATGTACGTCCCTACAGGAAAATCCAGGTGACAGCTCCTTTCGGCGATCGAGCATACAGTTTGCCTCCCCGGGCAACGTCTGAAAAATTGTCTTCAACACGCACCGATGCTACGGTGACAGTCGCGCACGACCTACCCAATCTACTGGACAGCAACTCTGTCGAGGTCCTCCCCGCCCGCCTCTGTCTTGCTTCGGGGCAACGCTTCTGACTGCTGTTGACAGAACGTAGCGTCGCGACTCCGCGAGATCGCTCTTACTCTTGCCCGGGGTCACCCATGCATCACTGTAGTGTCCCCAGCATGTAAAAAGACGCCGAGCGCATAAGACCCCGTGTACAGTTCACCAGCCTGTCACCTTTGTCGTCGGCTGTGAAACCTGCGTGGGCTGCAAGAGCTGTAGCATGTTATCCAGAGAACAACATCCATCACTGTGCTTAAAACTGCCCACTCGAAATGCATCTCGATGGTAAACGTCCGTTTGTGTTGGATCGCTACAGTCTCTGGAAGCTGTCACCCGCCAGAGCACTCGGTGGGAATCTTGAGGCGAACAATTGAAAAGGTCTGGTTAGTATCAAGACACGGTTAGTATTTTTTTTACATGGGCGAAGTTGAAGTCATTGCAAATATAGTTGTGTTTGTAGGGCAGAAGTTGAAGTTATTCGAGTGATGGTCAAACAAACATGGAATGGCGTTCCTATGATTCATTAATGCTGTCGTTGCACAACATTCCTCATACTAAGCGAGTCAATCTGCATTTCAAACACGTCCAAATCGTCCGGCAATCCGCAGAGAGTGTGGGCTGCCAGATCTCGACGCGTAGGCCACACAGGGCCGCATCCCTTATCAGCACCCGAATAATACTCAAGACTGAGGAACCCTTTTTCAGGAAAGCCGCCATCCTTAAGCCACGAGTAGTTGAGCTCCCAGCCTGGGATCTTCTCGTCTCGACTCCAGCCAAATGTTTCGTTTTGCCAGTTCTCACCCGGTTCGTCGATGGCAAGTCGTACGAGGGCCTTTGCCATTTCGCGTTCCTCGTATTGTGCGAGTGCGAGCTCGTAGTAGTTGTCAGGCCAAAGCGGCGTCAACACGTTTAGCATACCTAGCTGGTAGAGCGTTTGAGCTGCCTCATCATCCGTGAGGGCCGATAGTACGCCGCTGAAATGGTGGAGATCCGTGATTCGATCGAAAATGGTACACACGAGGTCACACCGGGAGGTTTCGAAGGCGACAGGCCAAGCTCCCAATAGCCGAATGGCCTGGTTCACAGTGATCCATCGCGTGGACAAACACCACTGAATGTTGAATAATAGTCGGCGCGCGGTGCAGACGTTTGGCGCTGCTGGGATCGCTGGGGTTGCCGGAGTAATCCCGCGCCGAAGAGTACTATCCTCAGCATCTACCTCGATGTTATGTGTAATATCTGGTAGTATTTTATCTTCAGATTCAACTGGTGAATGAGAACTCCCTTCCTCGCCCTCGCTGGTGTCAAGTTTGGTGCTAGATTGTTCACTAGGAAGTGGAGTCAGCTCAATGGATCGGTTTAAACCTGCACCGAAGTCAATGTAGTTCTTGATCGTGTTCATCTTTTCGTATTCTTCAAATACTCTTCGAGTGAATGGACGTTGAGGTGGGAACCCCGATTCGGTGATTATCGGTGAAGAATTCGGTGGCGTTGATATCGAGTTTCTGACGTTATTGCCTGCTTTCGACACTGCAGTGGCTACCCCCATTCCAGCTCCCATTCGATCTAGCTGACACAGTTGCAGCATTTGTTCAAAACGTTTATGTGAGAGTGCGTGACACGGAGCGCGTCCTAGTTGCACGTAGTCCAGCTCCAAATAACCGAATCGTGGTGCTGAATCCAGAAATTTGGGCTCCAAAACGAAAGGTTTGCCATGGAGTATCTCGTTGCGAAAACCGTGGTAGTTAGTGTGCTGACTCGTGTCTTTCAGTCCACTTTTCTTGCGTAGAAAAGCAGTACGATTACTATTCTCAATAAGTTTTCGTAAAGTTACCCGATCCAGATCGTTACTCAGATCGATACGATAATGACCGGATGCCAGTCCTAGAATGGGTAGAAGGGCCTGACCCATAAGATGTTGTACACGTAGTCGATCGGCTGAACTTAGGTTGTGTTCGATCAGCGTATACGCGTTACGAGAGTCCACCATATGAGGTAACAACGCTATAACCACTTGAGGAGGATCACAAACGTCTCGTACTGCCTCGAGAAGTTGCTGTGCTTCGTGTGCTTTAAAGATGAGACCGGTCTTCGCCATGAACAGCATTTGGGTCTTATTCTTACTCATCGAGATGTTCTCAATCAGGCGTTCCACACTCGCATCCGACTGTGCACTGTCATTACCTGATGATACGTGGAGATCGACAAAGTCAATTTGCAGTCGTCCCTCTGTCGGGATCTCGAAGGGCAAATTGGTCTCCACGTCCACACATTCACGGTGGAAACCTCCGTTAAGTTCAT